TATGATTTGAATGGCATTAAAGGGTATGCAAACTCTAACAATAAACTTCCAGTGATATGGTACATAAAATTATATACCTCCATCCCTAAAATTGTAACCCAAAAAAACATTGTAAATGCCCATGGGATTTTTAGAGGTACTTTCAAAAAACAGACACAATTTTGAAAGTGGTTCTAAAGGCTGAAGGTTTTTTTTTTACCCTAATGCATTATATGAATTAATGTAAAAATCCTTCTTCCTGCAGCACTCCCCCCCAGCCCTTCCTTATACTTACCCAATCCCGATCCCGATGCAGCTATGTGCTCGAGAGCAGAGGCTCTTTTGGCTCTCTCCCTTCTCATTGGCTCAGACATTGGCTTCTGCTGCTGCCAATCACAGCCAGTGAAAAGGGAACAGGGGCGGGCTTAGCTGCACTCTGTTTGTCCATGGATACACAGTAGCAAGCGGCTTACTATGGGGGCACTTGGTGGGGTGAAGGGCCAAGAGCGCCGGTGGGGTTCAGAGAAGGGGAGAATCAGGGCAACACCATTGCACAGAGCAGGTAAATATAACATGTTTGTTAGTTTTTTAATTCAATAATGTAAAATAACTTTAAACGTTTATTTTATTATAAGCATCAACATACTTCTCAATTAAAAACGGGAAGCTGATTTAGGCCCCATTCACATCTCGCGATTTGGGATTGTAGACAGAATCACTGTGATCCTGCCTGCAATCTCAAATAGTGGCAGAGTAATGGCACCTCAAATGTGATGCAATTCTGACACAAATTTTGCGCGACGCTATTGCATGGCAATCACAGCAAAATGTGAGGTTTAAAAATTTGCCATGCTTGTCACCCAAAAAAAGGAGCATGAGCTTCTTTTTGGGTGACAAACATGCATAGAGCAGCCCATGAAGTGAACAGGCTGCCCTATGTGCGATGCATGAAATCGCGGGCAAATCGCTAAACACAATGACAAGCAGGAACACTTGTTCCCTCTACACGAAAATATTAACGCATTATTAATATTTCATATTCATGTTTTTAATAGGAAAAGTGCCAATTAAATGCAGGAATAAAGGTGCATCGTATTCTCTATGCGTTTCATGAATATGCATTCACTTCATCAGGAGTGGACACTACTGGCATGATGTCCGCAAACTGAGAATCAAAATGAAAAAAAAATTAGAGCTAGAAATGGTAATCTTTTATCCTTTGAAAGGGTGAGTCAAAATTTAACCTAATTACTAAAATACTTACAGATTAGCTTGAAAAGTAATTAAAATCAATTTTAGAACTTCCAAGTGGTAATCACCAAAGGGCATCTGCCCTTGGAGCTGTGGGCAGGGGCTCACAGGACCACAACAGGATGACCAAGAAGGGGGCCCAGGCAGAAACACACAGCGCACAGATGGAAAAGAGAGGTAATCACAGCTTATAAACACACCAAAAGTGAATATGATAAGAACCTAGTAGACAATATACAGTATCATACAGCACACATGAAATAAATTAATATATAAAAATTGCCACCAGGATCTCACCGATATAATTATGTGCCGCTATAGGTGACTGACTGAATGGAATTAATATAAATTGTAAATACAGTATATCCTAAATAATACATATACTGTATAAATAATTTAAAAAATATATTTTTTCCAAAGCTTGAAAGTGCCCAAATAAGTGAAAACCAATTAAACCAACAAAGAATAAAGAAATCATTAAAAGAGATGTATTAAAAAATATACTCACAAAGGTGTGTAGCGCTACTCCTGTAGGAGCCGCAGGAATACTGTCCAGGTTTTCCCATAAAGCTTTGCCCCGCAGTCAGGCATATAGGCTCACTCACACATGACCAGTCTAGAGGTGTTGTTTTTGTTGTTTTAATTTTTGGAGAACATGAATAGGAACGGGGAATTAGGTGGGATACCCCAATAATGGAAGCTACAGTGGGGATCGAAAGTTTGGGCACCCCAGCTAAAAATTTGTATTAATGTGCATAAAGAAGCCAAGGAAAGATGGAAAAATCTCCAAAAGGTATCAAATTACAGATTAGACATTCTTATAATATGTCAACAAAAGTTAGATTTTATTTCCATCATTTACACTTTCAAAATAACAGAAAACAAAAAAATGGCGTCTGCAAAAGTTTGGGCACCCTGCAGAGTTAATATCTTGTACTGCCCCCTTTGGCAAGTATCACAGCTTGTAAACGCTTTTTGTAGCCAGCCAAGAGTCTTTCAATTCTTGTTTGAGGTATCTTTGCCCATTCTTCCTTACAAAAGTCTTCCAGTTCTCTGAGATTTCTGGGCTGTCTGTCACGCACTGCTCTTTTAAGGTCTATCCATAGATTTTCAATTATGTTGAGGTCAGGAGATTGTGAAGGCCATGGCAAAACCTTCAGTTTACGCCTCTTGATGTAATCCCCCGTGGATTTCGAGGTGTGTTTAGGATCATTATCCATTTGTGGAAGCCATTCTCTCTTTAACTTCAGCTTTTTCACAGATGGCATCAAGCTACCATCCAAAATTTGCTGAAATTTTATTGAATCCATTTTTCCTTCTACTCGTGAGATGTTCCCTGTGCCATTAGCTGCAACACAACCCCAAAGCATGATTGATTCAACCCCATGCTTAACAGTTGGACATAGGTTCTTTTCATTAAATTCTGTGCCCCTTCTTCTCCAAACGTACCTTTGCTCATTCCAGCCAAAAAGTTTAATTTTAACCTCATCGGTCCACAGAACTTGTTTCCAAAATGCATCAGGCTTGTCTATATGTTCATTTGCAAAGTTCAAACGATGATTTTTGTGGTGAGGACGTAGAAGAGGTTTTCTTCTGATGACTCTTCCATGAAGACCATATTTGCACAAGTATCTCTTTATAGTGGAATAGTGTACCACAACTCCAGTGTCTGCCAGATCTTTCTGGAGGGATCGTGCAGTCAAACGTGGGTTTTGAATAGTTTTTCTCACAATCCTGCGAGCTGTTCTGTCTGATATTTTTCTTGGTCTTCCAGAACTTGCTTTAACTTCCACTGTTCCTGATGACTGCCATTTCTTAATTACATTCCGAACAGAGGATACTGACATCTGAAAACGCTTTGCTATCTTCTTATAGCCTTCTCCAGCTTTGTGAGCGTCAACTATTTTCAGTTTCAGTTTTCTAGACAACTGCTTAGAAGAACCCATGGTGCTGATTGTTGGGGCAAGGTCAGATGAGTCTGGGCATTTAAAACCTTTGAGATTGACATCACCTGGTCTTCCCAGACGATGATTGAGAACAATCCATGACACTGGCAGGTCTCAGCTTGGCAAAGGGGGCAGTGCATGCTATAAATTCTGCAGGGTGCCCAAACTTTTGCAGACGCCATTTTTTTGTTTTCTGTTATTTTGAAAGTGTAAATGATGGAAATAAAATCTAACTTTTGTTGACATATTATAAGAATGTCTAATCTGTAATTTGATGCCTTTTGTAGATTTTTCCATCTTTCCTTGGCTTCTTTATGCACATTAATACAAATTTTTATCTGGGGTGCCCAAACTTTCGATCCCCACTGTATGTACAGTTGGGGACTTTAAATATTCTTTAGGATAATCTATGACAAAGTCCGTGCTTGAAGCAAACAGTAGACTTCAGCTTTAGGGGTAGCAGTATTAGTAGTAGTAAACTTGAGCAGAATCCTTTTAAGTAGGGGATTACGTGGACAAAACCAGTGTCCTCTTTAGCCCAGACCTGCAGCTAACTATCTAGCACCAAAGGAGGTTATGTAGCACTCAGTCTCTAAGATCCTTTAGAGGTGTCTGTATATACAAGGAACAAGAGCAGATGGTTATCTTCCTCCATGATACCAGACCAGATCTCCAGTAGTTTTAGAAGAACCCAGGTTTCAGCATTCAGGCCCTCAGGTTGCCCACCTGAAGCCGCATGGCAGTGGTTGCCTGGGAAGGACAACGTGACCTCTTCCCAGGTTGGAACAATCCTGTACAGGAAAGAGCCATGTGTGCTCATTGAATATATACAGTTACCCAGCATGCCATCAGAGCCTCTCTCTGGGATAGGCTGAGGTTGTGTCAATATTCATGCTGCCATCTGCATAGCTCCACACCTATGATCCAGAAACATCTCAAGCTTTCTAGATGCAGAGGGATCTATCAGACTGTCAACAGCTGAGAAGACCTAACTAGCAGGACACAGCAACATTGATTACAGTGTACAAGTTGCACTTTTACGTAGCAACAATTATATCCACACTGTCTACAGTGTGACAGCTAAATATACACTTATTGAGATTTTTTTTCCATAGACATGTAGCAGAATGCATTTTGGCCTAAATTTATGAAGAAATTTTTTTTTTTATATTTTAATGGATATTGTTTTATAGCAGAAAGTAGAAAATATAGGGTTTCTTTTCAAAATATTTGGTCTTTTTCATTTATATAATGAAAAAAAAAATCCTAGTGGTGAGCAAATACCACAAAAAAAACCCTATATTTGTGTGAAAAAAGTATATAAATGTAATTTGGGTACAATGTTGCATGACCGATCAATTGCCAGTTAATCTAACTGGCGGTCTGATTATTTCAATATTTTTGAAAGTCAAAGCGGGTAGTGGGGCGTACATTGTTTTGCATGGAAGTTTGTTGTTTTATATTCTAGGCCTGTAATTCTTAGGAATAGCTCACTTAAATCTGTCCAAAGAGGAGTCTAGTAAACATCCCGAGTATGATAAAGTTTGAAACAGTAAATTATAATGTAATAATAATTATAAAAAATAATAATATAATAATAATAAAAAAATTTAATTCAATTTATTTTAATTCAATAATGTAATCAAACCAAAAACACTGAAATTTCTCCAAACAAGGGTGCAATATTACTAGACACTGCATATTGGTTTAGTAAACATCCCGGGTATGAAAAATTTTGAAACATGAGACTGCACAAAGTCCGACGTCACAGTCAATAGAGCACCAAGTTTGCACATCACTAAGCTCAGTCGCAGAATCGACGCTGATGACGAATTTCCCCACGAATCATTATCGCTCAATTCTGCAAGTGATTCTAATTTACTATCGCTGTTCTCTAGCTGGTCTAAAACCGCTTTTGACCTAAAGGGACGCTTTTTGGACGCCATGGACGTTCTCAAGTTTCCAGGCAGAAAGAACAGTAAAAGTGCAGGCAGGGCACAAGACAAAGCACTCGGGACAAAACTTAGGTGAAATGGTTTAATACAGTAATGTAATACTAATAGATTACAATGTATTGTGTGTATGTCATGTTTTGTTTACTTTTTTTAATCTCTGCTGGTTTCGCCCCCCTGCGTCGCGGCGCTCGCAGGGAAGGGAACCCAGAAGACGGATGCCGGCATCGGCCGGGAGGACACAGAGGGAGAGACATCGGGGGATCTCAGGGACAAGGTAAATCATATACTTGTGTATTCCCGAGTGTGGCTCAGGGTTACCGCTATTGGTACTGAAAATTAACCTCGAGCCACACTCGGGATTACCGCTAGGGAGGTTAAAGTAGCACAGTGCTAAATAGCTAGGGGGTAATGCCCTGCCCTGGGGTAAAGCCTTCCAGAGGTCAAGTGGTTAAATATACCCTTGAAGCACTTTGTTATATCTGTTCAATATATATGCAAAAAGATACCAGTTGATCGTGACAGAAATACAGTATGTTTATTACTTTCTGTGCTGCACTGTTATCAGTTAGTATTGTTTCTAGTTATCTCTGCGGACTACAGAACATCTCCTTTTATGTTATGAAGGGGAGGAGAGGGGAGGTGTTCTGATGTGCTAACACACTTGACAAAGCTGCTCCTCAATAGATATAGTGCAGTGAGTGTTATCATCCTAGGACAGCAAGTGTGTCACTAGCTAAATCACCAGATGAAAATAAAGGGAAAAAGAATGAAAAAAGAAAACAAATGCAGCCACTGTATCTAAGAACTGGAAAGCTGCAATATAAAACATTTTTGTTCTTGAGTTTAGTTAAACTTGAAATATGGTTAATTACTACACAACAGGGTTACACGGTGGTTATTTCCATTTGCATTTTTTAAAAAAGATTTTTGGGATGAACACCACATGATTTTTAATAATTTTTGAAAGCGTTTGCATCTTTTCTGAACTATGTATTATTTGCAATACATTTGCTAATTATGAAAATAAATAATCAGCAGACATTTATGTATTTCGCAAAACAAGGAAAATATTCATCTTTATTTTGTACAAGGTATGTATTCTGCTTTCTCCAGGGAACAATATTCCTATTTTTCTGCTGTAAAACTGCCATTGTTCTGAATCTCACCACCATCACACCTGACACGGAAACCTGATCTGCTCAATGTCTTGTTCTACAAGATGCAGAACAAAGAAGAGGCTAATAAGAGGTGGTAACAAAAAGTTTTGAGACTCGCTCTTATCTACGTTTACACACTATCACCTTCAAAATAGTCCCCTTGCAGAGCAATACATCGCTCCCAGTATTCCTGCCACTTCTGGAATGTGTCCTGGAAGTCTTCTTTTCGAAGCGTGTCAAGCACCTTCTGCTATTCATGCTGGATCTCCGCAATGTTGACAAAACAGCGACATTTTGAGCTGGATCTTCATCTTCAGGAAGAGGGCAAAAGTCTGGAGGAGCCAAATTGCAGCCTGGGGACGAATTTGGCAGCAACACAGTGCATGTTCAAATCACACGTGAGGATTGCCTGGACTGTTCTGTATGACACACCGACAATGGCAGCAATGTTGTGGATTGTTCTCCGGAGATCAGTATGCACAAGTTGCTGAATGGTTTTGACATTTCTACATTTACGGGTGTTGAGCTCGTTGAAGCTCTTCTTGATCTCTCATCGTCTTTCAGTATGTTCTTCTGCTCTTGAAGCGTACTTGCCACTCAAAACACCTCAAACGACTCATTGCAGCATCTCTGTAAACTTACCAAATCATGTCAAATGTTGCTGTGGCAAATTTGCCCAGTTTCAAGCAGAATTGCACATTTGCTCTTTATTATAACTTGCTGTCCATGATGAAATAGCAGATGTGGTAACGCATGTGGTCAGAATAGCACCAGTTACACATCTCATGATGTACAAAGGACGATGTCTTTTGGCACGCTGACTCATGATGTTCAGTGCTCTCTGTGACTGTGCGTGAAGCCTTGTGGTGCCATTCGTTGGCTTATTACAAAACCAGTCTTGAAACGTTTTGATACCACCTCGTAGAATTGAAGGTATGATTACACCATTCAATCAGTCTTTTGGGACTGATGGGGCTGTTGGGCAGGGAAAAAGGGGGATTAAAAACTAGTAATGGCTTCAATTAGCAAGAAAGCCTTAATTCCACTTTAAGTATGTCCCCTTTTATAAAGGCCAGTGTAACCAATTCCCCCCCCCCTTCATGGGATGAGTCACAGTACAGGTCAGTACATTCAAAAACCTTTTTTTCAAACATATATAGGTTAGGCGTCTCCTATATAGGTTACAGTAATGGTGTATTAAAGAGAAAGGAGCCAGTTTAGTGTAAGATACCTGTAAATACTACATGATTGTTTGAGATAAAATAACCCATGCAGTATTTCTCTCAAAAGTAGTCAATTCACACAAAAAAAATGCATTATTACGGAATGCGTTGAATATTTATGCTCTGCGATATTTATCACTTATATTTCTGCCTTTTTTTTTTGCTATTTTCTCTGTAAGCTCTGTAAATAAATGTACACAAAATATTATGAAACCCTGAAAACATTCTAGTGTGCTTTCATCCACAGAACAATCTTCCTCTGGTGAAATAATACAATTTATTTTCATCCCTGAGCTCAGCCAGTTCATATGTATGAGGATTGGATGTGGTTTGAATGCATGACATGTGAAGTAACATTGCTTCCTATGGTGCCTGTTCACATATGTCTGGTGCACTGGCGGTGCGGATTCAGTGCGGTTTGAAGAGTCCTGTGCGATTTCTGAGCAGTGCGGTCCGCTTCAGGTGCAGCTTACAGGCTATTGACTTCCACAGGAACCATTTCTAAACTTCATATGTATGAACAGGATAAAATCCTGACCTGAACCTGACCTGCACTGCGGAACAACTACTGTATAAATTAGCTGTAAAACCTGAGCTTCAGTCCGCACCACACATGTGTGAATCAGCTCTCAGGGCAGAACATTTCCATACTGATACATTGTATCCTTTCCCTTACTGGCCAGTTCAGAGTACCCTCATTGTTATTTTGTACATTGCTAAAATACCGACTGCCTACTGGTAGGTGTGTGTGTTCCTTAGTGAATTGACTTTAAGGCTCCATGCACACGGGGCATTTTAATAATGTTGGTAGCGTTAGCTGTGTAAAGGCGCGTTAAAAATGTGAGTTTTTCAAAGTTTTTTTGCATTAGTGTCTAGCCATTTTTCAAAGTCCATGCACACTGGGCGCTTTGATACCGTTGGTAGCGTTAGCTGTGTAAAGTCGTGTTAAAAATGTGAGTTTTTCAAAGTTTTTTTGCATTTTTGCATTAGTTTCTAGCCGCAAGTTTTTCCTCATTTGTGGTTTTTAGCATTTTTTTTTTTACGCACACACAAAAAAAATGTTTTCCTAAAAAAAAGTCCAAAAATGCTGGTGTGCCATGTTTTACTGTGTTTTTGCCGCATTTTTCAGCGTTACAGCATTTTTACAGCTAAAAAAACTACTCCAGAAACCCACTAGTTCTGGGGTTTTTTTCCAGCCAAAAACAACCCTGCCAAAAAAACTCGGATTAAAGCCTATGTGTGCATGGACACATAGGATAACATGCTGGGGAGTTTACTGACTGTAGAAAAAAACTCCAAAAGCGAAAACAGCTGCTGTAAAAAATATCCAGTGTGCATGAGCACTAATAATTCATCTTTTTGTTTGCAGTATTTACCTCACATTTTTAACAACTGTGCGAAACTGACCTCACTTTCGATTATTTACTTTGATAAATTGACTCCTCTATTATCTCATGCGATATGTACAAAACAAATGGGTCACATGACATTCATATCACATGCAAAATCCTTTCGTGAATTGACCCCTTAACCATTTCAATACCGGGCACTTTTACCCCCAGGCCATTTTTCAGGTTTCAGCGCTCTCACATTTTGAATGATAATTGCGCGGTCATACAACATTGTACCCAAACTAAAATTTTATCATTTTCTTCACACAACTAGAGCTTTCTTTTGGTGGTATTTAATCATCACTGGGGTTTTATTTTTTTTGCTAAATTAACAAAAAAAGACCAAAAATTTTGAAAAAAAAACAAAGTTTTTCTTTGTTTCTGTTATAAAAGTTTGCAAATAAACAATTGTTCTTCATAAATTTAGGCCAAAATGTATTGTGCTACATGTCTTTGGTGAAAATAACCCAAATTAGGATGTATTTTTTAGTTTGTAGGAAAGTTATAGAGTTCACAAACTATGGTATAGATCTGAATATTGATCAATCCTGAAGTACTGACGGCCAATCTAATTTCTTGAGGTCCAAGAATGTCAGAACAGTACAGATATCCCCCAAATTACCCCTTTTTGCAGAGTAGACAGTCCGACGTATTTCATAAGAGGCATGGCAAGTTTTTTGAAGTTGTATTTTTTTTTTTTCATAATTTTTCGGAAAATAAAAAATTAAAAAAATTATTTTCACTACGTTTTTTTTTTACATACTGTCACCAGTGCAGTACAGCGTCATCATATAACTGGCATGGCGGTGATCAGGGACACTGACTGGTGACAGTATGAATAAAATATATATATAATTTTTTTAAATTTTTTATTACATTTTTTCTTGTTTTTAAGATTTTTATATTTCACTGACCAAAGTAGTACAATGTTACCATAGTAACATTGTACTACTTTGGGGAAGTGATCAGTATTATTATTTTTTTTTTTTTTTACACAATTTGCTTATAGCAAGGAATTACTTTGCTATAAGCAAGCATTTACCTGAATGACCGATTCATTTAGGGTTTTTTTTTTTTGTGCTTAGCTGTGATTTGGCCACGGCTAATCACATGACACAGCTGGGCTGTGATTGGCCCAGCTTGTGCATGTGATCGCTGTGACCATTCACAGCTAGACACTAGTATACAATAAATGGCATGAATGAAGCCATCCATTGTATACAACTGTCATGTGACCCGCTGTGATTGGTCACAGCAGGTCAGATGGTACCGACAACTGGGCCGGTACTCAGATCTGTCATCGGCCGTGTCCGAGGTACACGGCCAGTGACAGATTGCGCCACTGCGAAGCTCTGCAGGCGCGCAAACTGCACATGCCCGGGAGGACGTCATATGGCATCCACCCGGAACACTGAAGGATTTTCCCGGGCGACAAACGGCCATTGGCAGGGCGGCTTTTTTTCACACTTATACCTCTTTTCTTCTCCAGCTTATATGCTTGGTACCTCTTGACCCAGCTCACTATTCATTAGTTCTACAGTATATTTGTTAGTTACTGGTTGCTCTTTGCTGACTTACCTTGACCCTTATAAGTTGCTATATCTCTCCTGCGTATCGAGATTTATTTCAATTTATGAGTAGAAATCTACAGCTGTATTGTTTTCTTATTTTAATCAAACGTTTAACCACTTGCCCTCCTGAGGATTTGCCCCCCTTTCTGACCAGGCCATTTTATGCAATACGGCGCTGCGTTATTTTAACTGACTATTGCCCGGTCATGCCACGCTATGAAATTTATGTCATTTTTTCACCACAAATAGAGCTTTCTTTTGGTGGTATTTGATCACCTCTGTGTTATTTATTTTTTGCGCTATAAACAAAAAAAGACCAACAGTTTTGGAAAAAAAAAACAATATTTTTGACTTTTGCTTTAACCTCCTTGGCGGTATGATTCTTTCCGATTTTTTGTGCTGAAAGCGGGTACCATTTTTTTGCATGGAAATATGCAGTTTTTTATTGTAGGCTGTAATTTTTAGGAATAACTCACTGAAATCTGTACGAACAAGAGTCTATTAAACATCCCGGGTAGGATAAAATTTGAAACATGAAATCATAAATTATAATTTAATAAATAATCATAAAAAATAATAATATAATAATAATAAATTTAATTCAATAATATAATCAAACCAAAAACACTGAAATTTGAAATACAGAGGCAAATTCGCACATCGCTGAGCAAAGTCGCAAAATTGTTTTCAGTGTCTGATGATGAATTTCCCCACAAATCATTATCACTCAATTCTGCAAGTGGTTCTGATTTACTATCGCTGTTCTAAAACCGCTTTTGACATAAAGGGACGCTTTTGGACGCCATGGACTTTTCTAAGTTTCTAGGCAGAAAGAACAGTCAAAATGCAGGCAGGGCACAGGACAAAGCAGTAGGGACAAAATGTATGTGAAATGCATTGAAGTAGCAATGACAGCAAAAATGACATTTTTTAAAAAAATTCAAATCTCCCGCCGGTTCCGGCGCCCGTACGTCCTGACGTCACAGGGACCGGAACACAAAAGCCAGAAGCCAGATGCCGGCATCAGCCGGAGGAGATGGCCGGGGATGCTGGAGGGGACACATCGCTGGAGCGAAGGACAAGGTAAGTGCTGTAGGGACCCCCAGAGCAGCGCCGCATGGTAAGCCCGAGTGTAGCTCGGGGTTACCGCTTTTGGTATAGAAATTTTACCCCGAGCTACACTCGCGAACACCGCTAAGGAGGTTTAAACATATCCAGTAAAAAAATTTAAAAATCAAATGTCTTCATAAATTTAGGCCAAAATGTATTCTATTACATTACTTCGCTGAAAAAAAAATCCCAATAATTGTATATTAATTGGTTTACTCAATAATTGATGTCAAAATATTTTGTGTTACATATATATTTTGAACTTTGTTTAATAAAATCATTGTATATTTTTTAACTCTATGATCTTGTTGGTTGGTACTTAAGGAATCTCACCCTTCTGTTCCTCTCCTTGTGTTTATGCAATCCTACTGAATACCTTTAAGATAAATTGGAACAAGCCAGGTATTCCCATCCAACATCAGTACATGACCTCATTAAAAATGCTTTTTTGATTTTGATTGAATGGCCACAAATTCCCGCAGACAGACTCCAAAATCTTGCAGAAGTGGAGACTGCTATAGCTACAAGAGGACAACTCAATAACAATGCCCTTCAGTATCTGGCCTGATTTTTTTTTGTTTGATGAATGGGCCCAAATTCCCAAAGGCACACTAAAAAGTCTTGAAGAAAGCCTTCCCATAAAGAGTGGAGGATGTTATAGTAGCAAAGGGATGAGCTATTGATGGCTATGATTTTGGAATAGTATGTCCAACAAACTCATATGAGTATGATGCTCAGATGGTTAAAAACATTTGGCGCTATAATTTAGAAAGGATGCTTCATTCAAAACGGTGCAGGTGTTAGAAGACATCTTGATGTTAATGAGCAAGGTTAGTGGTAGAAACATATATGTCACATTCACAAGCAGTTCTGCAAATTCATGCAAACGTTACTTGTTTTCCCAGACTGCTGTTTCACCATTTTGCTGTATTGGAAAAAATTTTAACCTCCCCCAATTGCAATCCAAGTTGTGAAGGTTCAAAGGAATAATTAATAATGCATACATATGCTATGTGCTGTATATATTTACAAAGGTTAAACAGCATCCATTCTCTGTAGTGATTTAATATTATTTTAATTTCAAGCTGTACATTTTTATCAGTGTGCTACGTGAGCATTTTCTACGTGTTTTAGTCTGAAGAAGGTCATTTAGGAAACAATGCTATTTACACAAGCTAATGTGTACTACTTGATCATAGTCTGCCCTGTGCCTTGGGGGAATGCCAATGTCCATTTTATAGCCCCAAAGCTATCACACATTTACAGAAATGGGGATGATTTACTAATGCCTAGTACACACAAAATCAGGCAACAGATCATCCTTCTAGCCACGCCTAGAGCGATACATACATCATAGTCTCAAGGATTTTTCGTGTCCTGTCCTCACCCTGATTCGGTCGTTGTCTATGTTTGTTCTGCAAGAATGCTAATTAGTTCTATGCTAGCAGAAACAAATTGGAAAAATACACAACTGATCTCCTAACACACGAAAATCGTTAATTCTGTTACCAAACATTAATAATTTTGTCTCATGTTCCTTCGGAAACTTTCATCTGAAGTGTCGTGATTGGATGTTGAAAGCTGTGTGCTAATGATTAGATTATCGAACAATCACTTTGAAGGTGGTTATTTTCATTCAATTTTCTCATTTTGTGTACTAGGCATAGGACTGGAACATTTGGTTGCCTGTTCCTGTGCCCACCACTCTGCAAACAGCACCGTACACTCTGACACACTTAGCTGGGTGGGGAATATTTATTGCAAATGTATATGCAGTACCCCGCTAGTAGACAAGACATGAAACAAGAGCAATGATACAGCAAATAGTTGAACTGTAGCAAGGAATATATTGCCAATAGGTGAACAGAAAGAAAGCTACTGTTTGAAAAAAAGGAGTGGGTATAAAAAGCAATTTCTCCTAAACCCTATATTGGTGGCGATCCTAACTAAAGAGAATTACACCACTCTAACAGTTCAATAGTCTGGAATAAAGTATCTTCTGCTGTCCAGCTCAATGGGGCCCAACAGTTATTTTGGTGCACTCAGGACAATGTCCCTTTAAGCAGTGAGGATGACACTCTGGTCCCTTTAAGCAATGATAAAGTTTCTGGCTCTGTGATGCTCACAGGCAACACCATTCCTCTTTTGTCAAAATGTAATGTGGATTTGGCCAGGGGTCTCTCACCAACTCCCTGTGTTAGTAGGTGATCTCCCTCTGTATATATGTGTCAAACACAGCCGGTCTGTATCTACTGCATCCTTCCCCCTTGATCAGACAGCTTACTCCACCAACATGCATGTCTCTTTCCAATGTCCTCAGATGTCTGCTACTGTGCCTTTCTCCCTCTCAGGTACAAAGGTGAGCAGTCTGCTAGCAGCCAAATGTGCACTCTGTCCTTAAAGAAACAGCTTCCACACTTCTTCTCCTCAGCCCAGCAGGGAACCACCTCTTCTCATTGTCCCAGTGCCTTATAAGATTTGCTGTCTACTCTTTCCAGCTCACCAAGCTAGTTTAGTCTGTCAGAACTACATCTCCCACAATCCTTGCAGTCCACATCATGTGTGCATCCTTATTCAGTAGATGCAGGGTTGACATGGGTTGCTTAGTTCCACAATAACAGTAGTCTCCTCCCTAAACTGTGCCTGTGTAAAAGCCTTCTCTTCAGCATAAACACCGAGTTCTTTTTCTGCTAGAGCTGCAAACTGGGCTACAGATATAAAAAGTGGTATGATGTCACAGATATTCTCTTTTGATGTAATATTACATATTTATTAATAATTCAGTAGTTCATAGAGTAGACAGATGTTAACAATTGGAATTCGAATAGGCGGTCTGGAGATCAAAGGAACTACCATCCAATAGCTAATGGCACCCTAAAACTTGCCCACGCACTAAACCACAGAGGTTTAGTGTGTAGGCAGCAGCATTTTGGGCTGCAGTTTCATGCAGCAGGGGGCAGTGGAATGTGTGTTTTATCGCATCACACAGCTCCATTCATGTCAATGCATAGCAGCACAAAACCATCTGGACTTACGGTAGCTGTTTGCCGCTGGTCTAAGGAGTGTCCAGGCCTCTCCCATCCTCCCACTTCCCCCTGGGTCACTGTTTTGTTGTAGAGGAGGCTGTGCTCCAGTGCCTGCTCTCTCTCTCTCTCACACCAGGGAGAGCAGAGCCTTGTGGAGACCTGATTGTGAGGCCTGAGCCACCAGGGACAACAGACCACTAAGTATTTGGGACCAGATTCGTTAAGTACCAAGAGTGGTGAGCAGAACCAACTGTGCTTATTCCATTACTGACTGTAGTTAAAAGAAAAGTTCAGCATTATGAAAAAACATTTTCATATTCTCCTAAGTCGATGCAACATTGGTCCGGTGCTCAATCTGTCCCCTGCCTCTTCTAAGACTGGGAGCTGAGCGAAGAAAGACTGCTGATCACTCAATTCTTAGTCTTCAGTGAGCAGAGAGTAACTGGCTCTCTGCCCTGCCCTTTCGCCACTCACTGAGCAACTGGCTCAGGCTCCCAGTGGCTTGCTGAGAGGCTGAGTCAGCTGCTGCTCTAGGCATCTGGGTGGACATCAACATTAAAGTCAGGATCTTTCCTGAACCTGGACCTGCTCTGTGATATCATCCAACAGTAGGCCTTAACCCTCTGATGGCTCAAAATGGGTCACAGGAGTACATAATTGGGTAGGAAGAAAGGTAGGACCTTGACAAGAATGAAGTGAACCTCTGTGATAGTTTTGGCCCTACTTCTCCTTTAATGCCACTAAAAACCTCTTACTTAGCAGCTCTACAGTCCTCCGCTGCATACAGTTTAAAGAGACAGTAACATGTGCACCACCGTGCAGACAGGCCCCAACACTAACCTGCATAAATTTGATACTTAAGGCACCAGGTACCCATCTCAGGAACGTGTACATCCACTCACTTTTAGGATTGTAAGCACAGAGTGCACTCCGGGACACTTTTTGACTAATTATCACCAAGAGTTACAGTGAGGCTTTTTAAAGCTGATCTTATTAATGTGTGTAGCCTGGGTATAGCCTTATTGTGGTTTAGGTCAATTTCCATAGTTGAGGCTAGTATTCTAGTCAGTTAGTATAACCCATTCTAACATACTCTCTGATCTGTTTATAGGTTTGTGTATTGTGTTTGTTCTACCTGGTTATAATATTCTTACTTTTATAGAAAATGCAACAGCATGTACTATGCACTATAAACTATAGCTGGTGCTGTAGTGATATACTTGCATCTTTGTGTATATACAGTATACGCTTTTATATTCTGCACAGGAAGGAAGTTGTTTTTTTTCTCTGCTCTATCCTGTAATGCTGTTCTCAAACATGTATGCTGTTCTATGCAAGTAAAGCTGTATTCTACATTTCCCAAGATCTCAATGTCTCATCTTAACTCATAACCAACACATTTTTCTACCATAAATTGCCTGTGGACTATTTTATGGATGCTAATATAATGTGGTAGTACATTAACACCTAAAATCTAGGAGTGTCAGAGGGAATGAGGCTGTTTACAGAGTTGTGGCAAAACCCCTGCAGGGGTATTGCCACACCATGAGTGATATTTAAAGCTGAACTCCAGGAAAACAACTAAATGCACAGAAGATATACATATATTGTAGCTGTTTTATCTAATGTTAGGGTTGTTATTTTTTTCCAATGCACCCAGTTCTGAAATTTAAATTCTGGCATTTGTTCTGCCACAGCACAGTCCTGTCCTGGAGGCCTGGGACTTGGCCAAAGATTGCACTTGCAGGTTGCTTTGATTTCACACTTCTGTCCAGGCAATCCCAAAACATCTCGATGGGGTTTAAGTTTGGAGACTGGCTGCTCCATGATTTAAAGCCTACTGTCTTATTCTCTTTTTCTAGGGTAGTTCTCACACAACCTGGAGGTATGTCTTGGGTTAATATCTTACTGTAGGATGAACCCCTGA